TGTCGATGGAGGTCGCATTCAACTAAGATAGAGAGAGAAAGGGGCTAATTCCAAAAAAAAGTACAAATTTTTGGTCGAGTGACAATTTTAGCCCTTACTTTTCTTTGTCTCATAAAAAAGCACAAACTTTAGATCGAGTGACAATTCTGGCCCCAACTTTTTTTTGTCTCATAAAAAATCACAAACTTTCACCCTTATCCCAAATTTAGCCCCCCGTTGACTCTCTTTTTGAAGTTACCCTTGTTTGAGAAAAAAAGTTATGGTCACGAGCTTGGCGGATCTTGTCCATGGCGTCTATTGACAGGTGGTGGTCTACAACTTCAAATTACGAAGTCTGACCAGAGAGATTCAATTTAGAGATCTTTTTGACTCGCCGGTGAAATGAAGCTATGGCTCAAAAAAGAAGATAATGAATAGTGCTTTAAATCCACTCAGCAAGCCACGTGGATTTATTGCTGAGGTGGAATAGTCAAGTTGGATAATCAATAATTCTAAGTCAAGGAAAGCCAGATTTGAGATTTAAATGAAAGTCGGTAATTTTTTACAAGACAAAAAAAGGTTGGAGTCAGAATTGTCACTCGACCTAAAGTTGGTGCTTTTTTAAGAGATAAAAAAAAAGTTGAGGCCAGAATTGTCACTCAACTTAAAGTTTGTGCTTTTTTTTGGAATTAGGCCGAGAAGAAAAGAGGAGTTCCAAGAGACTTGGCGACGGCTCAACCACCATCTAATGGGGCCAATGGCCCGATGAGGTTTTGGTGTTGATGATTGCTTGCTGGCCACCGCAGATGTAGGTCTATAAGGGTTTCTTTTCTTTTGACCAGAAAATGGGAAGTCACATAATTTTTTTCATGAGCATATTATTGGGAAAGAATGATATTTGTAAAAATAATTTGATGTTATTTTCGCGTGTAAGATTAAAGTTGAACCATGGGTGGGTTTACATATTTATGGATTGGATTGAATACGGATCAATACAAGTTAAATATGCTTATACATGTTAAATGGGTAAAATTGGGCAACCCATTTATTACCTTAGCCCGAACTTGATTTGATCCATCAATTTGTCACCTCTAAGTAGAATCATGCGAAATTTTGATCATCTAAATAAATTTATGCACGATCAGGACTCCTATCTCTTTCACTTTGTTCAATCGAGTCCTTTCGTCAATCATTTTTATTAATACCATCGAATTGGTACCATGACATCTTCAGACCCCTGTCGATGAATAGTTGGCAATTGCCATCGTCCAGGTCCCCTATACCTCTCTCTCTCTCTCTCTCTCTCTCTCTCCACAGTTTTTGTCCTTGATGTTCGCTAAAGGGCACTTATTAGGTGCCGGATCGATCATCACCACATGTCGTCACATGCCTCGCTTCAACAACAATACCATGTCATCAATTTGATGGCGTAAGTAACCGTGATTGATGGAGGACGTGATTGAACAAAGTGAAAGAGACTTGATTGCATTGAAGTAAGCTTAGAGGACTGACATCGTACTCAACCTTAAATCCCCGGACGAAAAGTATATTTTCTTCCCTCTAATTGATTGAGAATAGATTATTATAGGTTTGCCCTCTTACCAATCCAAAGTATGCAGGGGCCTACTCAAGTTAACCCGCTCTTGCGTTGGGGATGGAAAACCTTCTCGCTTCAATTGGTGTCTCATGGCTCATCATGTTGGGTTTAGTTTCGTGGACCTGTCGATGTACATAACATACGCAATCGATGCTGTTTGGTTGATCGGTTCTATGGTTTGATTCTGTGCTCCATCAGCATACTAATGTCATGCTTACCGTCTTTGTGAGTTCGACTGGCCTTTACCTTCCAAAGCAAGCTTCACATATCGATTTTTTAGAGGCGTTCCACTGATAGCATGCGCGGCATACTATAAGACAAAAATAAAATAAAATAAGCAATGACTAAATTTGAGTCAATGTGATGCTACACTCCTCCAGCTCGGCGCTCCATGAGCCCTACTTCGGCGCTCCATGAGCCCTACCTCGGCATCCTCAAATCCGACACCGAACTTGACTGCTCTTGTAACTGGTACAACATCAGCTGCGACCCTGAGTCCCGTTGTGTTGCTGACATCAACCTCCGGGTTCGAGTCCGAGGATCCCATCTTTGAGAGGGCTAAGCGGACCGGCAACATGACCGGGCACTATACCCCTTGCAATATGTAGGCTTGAGCGCCTCTTGAGTCTCACCATCGCCGACTGGAAGGGACCAAATCAAAACATTTGGTCATTTTTCCACTTTAGACTTAACTATCTCTAAAAAGCTGCCTTGGATATGTTTGTATTAAATCAACGTAGACTTCATAGTCGAAGATATATTGCCGTAGTCACTAAAGTGAACATTTTTTCAAAAGTCATGGCAGTTAAGTAATCGGTAGAAAAGTTATGGTACCAAAGTGAGTATTGTACAAAAGTTATGGCATTGTTGGTTCCTTGTCTTTTCTCTTGAGAAATGATAATTATAAGGAGAGAGATTACTACGGTAAGATGGTTGCTATAAAAAGGAGAATGAACTATTACCTTAATGGATGTTAGCAATTGAGAATGGAGAAAACTCGACCCCATTGACAGTATTTAGAGCGCCGCAAAGAATGTATGAATGGATAGGTATGTCGAACGCAAAAGAACACATGAGTCAGTTAAACCAAGTGACGGATGTCTTTACAAAGGAAGACATGATTCTATCGGGAAGAAACATAGAATGGTTCAAGGCAAGAGTATTCCTAGACATGATAGGTTATGCTTGTTCCGTATGAGATTACACTTCACGGGGACATTATAGGGCTGTGAAGAAGATGATGTATAGACATAGACGTGGACACGTACATTAAACAAAGGACCAAGAAAAAGGTGGAAGTGATGTGAAATATCAGACAGGCTCGATGTAATTGTTTCTCAAGCCTTTCGGGCACAACAGTCAACACCTTCACAAGTTCTTGCATAAAGGAAACATCAAGATCGCCAAGGAGTTGAAGTTATATCAAACCATAGTGTTCTTGAAAGGTCCTTCGATTTAAACATAAACTAGATTCTATTAAATCAAAGGAAATTACAATTTTAAAAATCTATGGGTCTCACTAAAGAACACATGCTTCCATAAAATTTCCGTGTTGTGATATTTTGATTAGTTCTGTACATTCCATCTTTAATGTACTTTGGAGATGACCAAGACAGAGTGATGAAAAGATCTTTGCAGATCGCTTCCTAGTGCTTGTGAAGTTTTTAAGCATATCTATCTTCCGTTTTCTTTTCGTTAGTTTTACTTATAAATGAAAAGGGATATTCGCACTTGTTTCACTTTTTTGACTAATCTCATAATTATACGTAAATCATTCTGTCAACATATATCGAGTACCACTCCATGCGCAGGGTGGCAAGTGTCGCACCGAGTTTATGCTAAGTAGGAGACGTAATGACTCGAACCCAGAACACGCAAAATCAAAACCAAGCGATTGAAGCACAAAAAACCATAATTGTGGAGGTCTCTATGTTTTACTTATATTTAAGGTGGAAGTTCTTTACAATTTTGTAAAATAAGTTATCAATACTTAAGATTCTAAATAGGGTTAATACCACGAAAAACTCCAAACTCATACACCCATGACGAATTTACTCAAAACTAATTTTTTGACCACAAAAAATCCAAAACTGGTACACTTATGATAAATTCACCCAAAACTTATTTTTTGACCACCAAAAACCCCAAACTGGTACACTTGTAATAAATTTACTCTCCGTTAAATTAGATTAATACCACGAAAAATCACAAATTGATAAACCTGTGACAAACAAATGGTAAAACCTCAAACTGGAACACCCGCCAACTACCACATGTCATCCAACTCAGCAATTTGACAATAAAATTTAAAAGAAACTAACGGAATGTAAAATTGTCAGAGGTGTATCGGTTTAGGATTTTTGGTGGTCAAAAAATTAGTTTATGTTAAATTTATTATAAGTGTACTGATTTGAGATTTTTCATAGTATTAACCCTTCTAAAAATCGTGAAAAAAAGTATACTTTCTTTGGTGATTTGATCACGTAGACACTGTAGGTGAGCCCCACATAACTTAGCACATTGAAGCACACTACACACATTCCTAAATAGTAATTTAGTTATCAAAGTCCATGTACGTGTAGATCATGTGGTTGGCAGACAGTGTCCATTTTTAGGTCAATTTCAAGGCCAAATTCCATAACAACAACAACAACAACAAAAAGGCACGAACCCTTTGGGTGAAAACAGCCCTGAACTCTAAAGCATCCCATAAGAAAACACTATCTTTCAAGTTTGGGTAAATTCTGGCACAACGACGTTCACATTTGAAGAAAGCAACAACATTATGATTTCTTGAGAAACATGGAGAGATAGAACAACCCATCGCATATATTAGTCTTATTCACGGGTTAAACGGTTTGATTCGTCCCGACTCAATGCGTGACTTCCCAATTATGATCAAAATAATCAGCACCATCATAAATTCGAGAATTACCAACCTCTAATATTCGCATGGATACCTAGAACTTGCAATAAATTCGAGATTAGATTTGCCCTTAAAAAAATGATCCTCGGCTCATGGGATTAGCAAGGTATTCGATGGACCACCGGATGGTGGCAATAAAAATACTAGAAAGTCTCGATCGAATTGAAACCGAAGGGATCCATGCATTGGATCATTAGTTTCTTTAAATATTCAACAAAAAAATTTAGCACTTCACATGGTAAAAAAGGTTATAATAAGGTTTCTTCGCCCATGTGACCTTGCTCTCAGCAAATGTAAGGGCTTGCGCGTCCTAATTGAAGTGCACGAATTGTCATTGACGTTGATTTTACACCGGTAACAATCTAATAATCACTCACGCTTTGCTATTTTTTTTTTGTGTGTTTTCCTTTCTCGTGCGAGTGTAACACAGGTTCTCTATAAGTACTTCTATGATCTCCGTAGCAATGGCACTTGTAAATATCCAAGGGGTGAGAGAGAGAGAGAGATGGATATAGAAAAAAATTGCGTGGCCGGGTCGACAGAGATAGATATAAGGAAGGTCCACGAGGCCAAGTCGACAGAAATGGTCGGTGAGGTCGCGTTGGCAAAGATGGATAAAGAAGAGGCTGGCGAGGCTGCGTCTGCCAAAGTGGCCGGCGTGGTCGCATCGGCGGAGATGGATATAGAAAAGGTCAGGGAGGCTGCATCGGCGAAAATGGTCGGTGTGGTTGCGACGACGGAGATGGCTATAGAAAAGGTCGGCGAGGCCACGGCAAAAATGGTCAGTGCGGTCACGTCGACCGAGATGGATATAGAAAAGGTTGGCGAGGCCGTGTCGGCAAAAGTGGTTGGTGCAGTCTCGTCGGCGGAGATGGCTATAGTAAAGGTTGGCGATACTGCGTCAAAAATGGTTAGTGCGGTCACGTCGGGCGAGATGGAAATGGAAACGGTCGGCGAGGCCGCGGCAATAATGGTAGGTGCGGTTGCCACGGCAGGGATGATTATAGCAAAGGTCAGCGAGGCCGCATCGGCAGAGATAGATATAGAAAAGGTCCGTGACGCCGCGTCGGCTCACTACCGGGGCTTGCCGGAGGACCAGAAGCAGGCTGCCGTGAGGTTTTTCAAGGCCATGGACACAGACAAGAGCGGCAACATAAGCATCGACGAGTTCATCACCTTCTTAGGCCTTTTCGGGTTTCAAAGCGACAACCATGAATGGCTCTTCGCAAAGCTGGACAAGGACGACAACGGCACCCTCGATTTCAATGAGATGGTCACCTTCTTCTACATCCTCAGCCGCGACGAGTACAAACATCTATTAGACAGCAGGCCAAGTACCGATGTACCCCGTCGCAAGGTAATCATCATAGTTTCAATTAAATTAAACATAGACATGTGGTCTTGATTTTCCAAAATTTAGGAGGTACTTTTTTAAATCGCCTCCTCCTCCGTGTGCAACGCGTAAGACTAAATCCACAGCGTGGCAGGCGTGGCCCACAAGATTATTCCAAACAGATATAGCATCCGATTGCACTAGTATGACAAAATGGTTTACGATATAGGAATTTCAATATTCTACTAGGATTTGCATTTTCGGAAAAATTACCTCCGACGAGCAACGTTTACCGACCTTTTATCGAGTTTGAATTAATGAGGGATCGGAAGCGCTATCCTCTCGTTCAAAAAGATTTTAACCCCTATTACATGGGCAATATGTACAAACTTGGTTTGCGCAAGTTGGTCTAGAAGATAATCATGTAGTTTGTAAAGCGATTTTGAAAAGCTGAATCGATTTTTCGAGTGCTCGAGTTCAAGCATGTATTCACCAATGAACACTATGTCATGCAGTTGAGATTTGGCCTTCGGAAGCGCGGAGCTAATAACCAAGTAAGATCTCTCTCTGTCTCTCTCAACATTACCACCTCATGAAGACAAAAACACAGTGACACGATCTGTTTCAATTGTCTGTAACTCCATCGATGTGGTGGTGCAGAAGTTGGACAGGGGTGAACTCGCCCAACTGTACAAGAAGTTGCGGGGCGCGTACAAGCTTCGAAACTGGGTGAACGAAAACCTATGCTACATCCTCTAGGAAATCGACGAGCACCGTCGCTGGTTGTTAAGGTTTCTGTGTTGCTATCGGTGTGCTTGTGTGTTTTAGGTATTGGAAATGAAGAAGCTTTTCGTTTGATCTTGTTAAATTCTGGCCCGAGTTTCCTCGGGCATGCTCTGGAGACCAAGTAATAGAGTGAAGTTCAGTCTCGGACATTCGGGCATGGTAATGGTAGAGAGGTTTCGAGGGGAATTTCGGGAAAACCCTGTTGTACGTATACGTGTGTTTGTATGTGCAAAATAAAGTAAAGTTGTTCGACAAACCTGAAATGAGTGATCCGAATTTGATGATTGATCCGAGCCCAACAAATTGACGTTGTGTCCTTAAGATAATTTGTCCCCTCTACCGGTACCCAAAGGTTGTTGAACGATTGCCTCCCAAGATAGAACGGATCGCCTTTCCTATGAAGCAGTACTTCTTCAAAGGAAACCTTCGAACGCAACTTCGCATAATAATCACACAAAAAATGACAATGATGAAGAATGAGAGTGCAGCAATATGACTTGTGGAAAAAACCAGAGAATGACTCTCTCACGGATGTTATTAAAAAAAAAATAAAGAGTCGGAATGAACAGTTGCTAATAACCGAAGAGTTTCGTTCGGTCATATGCGGAAAAATGAATAGTCACCAAGTGAACATTTCGGATATAGAAGGACGAAAATGAAGAGTCACCAAGCGAACAATTTCGTTCGGTTCGGTTATACTTGGTCACTCTCACTCTCGGACAGATGGTAGAACCCGAACCTACGAACAGACATATCTGTTCGAAACAAAAAGAATAAATTCGGGAAAAATAAAACTAACGGGAACCCGGCTTTGGCCGGACGGACGGCGGCGCGCGCGGGGAAACCGACCCAGCTTGGCATAGGTCCTCTCTCTTCCACAAAAGTGGGGTACCCCTTGGGGCCAAAACCCATTTGAGAGGCTCCTCAAAATAAACCATCTCCCATCACCTCTTCTATCCTATGTGGGACACTTTCATCCACACATTTCTCATTCAATTCTATGGGATTTGGATGCCAAAATCCCAACAATCTCCCACATAAATGAGAAGTTCTGATATCATGACTCTTCGTGTATGCATGAGATGCAAAGTGCGATTATTTCATGAGAGAACGTTGCATTGGGATAAGTAGTCTAAGACTTTGAACTTTCCCTAGTGAGACCTATCGGACTTACTCGGTCAATCAGTAGACTTGATGTCTTTGAACCGTCGACCTTTAGTGTAAGTCCAAACAATAGGAATCACACAACTATCTCTCAAACAAAGTTGGTTCTCACTGTTGTGTTCGTTTTGGCCATGAACACTGCCTGGTTTCATGAGTGCTTTTGAGAATTTGGCCTTTCAAATTCTTCATAGAAGTGGCCCTTACTTCACGCTCACATAGGTGATTTATGATTGTGTGGTATATCACATACCCAAATCAGAATCATTAAAAGCTTACACTTAACCTCCACATGTCAGTACTGTCTCCATACGGGAATGAGTAAGAGTTGACAGTACACTACTCCGCCTGCATAACTTGGTTGTCCCTTTGAACCTAGATCTTGGGATCTCCAGTTAACTAGGTAAGGTTTCCGCTATGATGACTTATTTTATAGGCCTTAAACCCATTCCCCTTGATGTTTTTACAACCATCTCTCTAGTTAGGCCTTTTGTTGATGGATCCGCAACATTATCTTTTGACTTCACATAGTCAATCGTGATAATTCCATCACAGAGTAGTTGTCTTACGGTATCGTGTCTTCGACGTATATGTCGGGACTTTCCGTTATACATGACATTCCTTGCCCTGCCTATTGCCGCTTGACTATCACAATGAATACACACAGCTGGCATTGGTTTAGACCAATTAGGAATGTCTTCTAAGAAATTTCGAAGCCACTCAGCTTCTTCACCGGCCTTATCCAAAGCAATAAATTCTACTTCCATAGTAGACCTCACAATACAAGTTTGTTTGGATGATTTCCAAGACACTGCTCCCCCACCAAGTATAAACACATACCCACTTGTGGATTTTGTGTCTCTTGTGCCGGTTATCCAATTTGCATAACAATATCCTTCAAGTACCGCTGGATACTCTATGTAATGTAAAGCATAATTTTGAGTATGCTTCAAATAACCCAATATACGTTTCATAGCTTTTCAATGATTTTCATTTGGACTAACTGTAAATTGACTTAGCTTGCTCACAGCACAAGTTATGTCCGGCCTAGTACAGTTCATGACATACATTAGACTGCCTAGTATACTAGCATACTCATTTTGAGCTTTACTTTCACCAGTATTCTTTGAAAGATGTAAATTAACATCTATCGGGGTCTTTACTGGTACATTGTTTAGATTCTTGCACTTTCCAAGAATCGTCTCAATATAATTAGACTGTGATAGAGCTAATCCTCCATATGTCTTATGGATTTTAACTCCTAAAATAACATATGCAACCCCCATATCTTTCATATCAAATTTACTTGTGAGCATGCGTTTGGTCGCCTTAACAATCTCACTATCGCTGCCCATTATAAGCATGTCGTCTACATATAAGCACAAAATGGCACAATCATTATCACACTCATTAATCTTAAAACCATTCAACAACATGACTTGGTCGAATTTAGCATGCCATTGTTTTGGTGCTTGTTTCAATCCATAGAGTGACTTAATAAGCCAACATACTTTCTTCTCTTGTCTTGGAACAATAAACCCTTCGGGTTGTTCCAAATATATTTCTTCTTCCAAATCCTCATTTAAGAAAGCCGTTTTCACATCCATTTGATGGATTTCAAGCTTATACACTGCTGCTATGGCAATTAGCATCCTTATAGATGTAATTCTAGTAACAGGTGAATAAGTATCAAAATAATCAAGACCTTCTCGTTGCTTGTATCCTTTTACTACAAGCCTAGCCTTATATTTATCAATAGCGCCATTCGCTTTCATTTTCCTCTTGAAAATCCACTTACATTGTAGTGGTTTATTACCAGGAAGAAGGTCAACTAATTCCCATGTACGGTTTGACAAGATGAATTCAACTTCACTATTGATAGCTTCTTTCCAGAATGGGGCTTCTGGGGATGTCACAGCCTCTTTAAAAGTCTGAGGCTCATTCTCTAACAAATATGTTAGAAGATCAGGTCCAAAAGACTTAGAATTTCTTTGTCTTTTACTACGTCTAGGTTCATCCTCCATAGGATCGCTTCTAGGTGTAGTGTCCCGAGGCCTCTTATCATTATTAATTGGCTCATATACTATGTTATACGGAAATATATTCTCAAAGAACGAAGCGTCTCTTGACTCAATGATCGTATTAACATGTATATCTGGGACCTCAAACTTATGAACAAGAAATCGATAAGCATTACTATTAATAGCATATTCAATGAAGACACAATCAACGGTTTTCGGTGCTATTTTAACCTTTTTCAGTTTAGGAATCGCAACCTTAGCCAAATACCCCAACACTTTGAGATATTTCAAATTATGTGTTTTGCTTTTCCACTTCTCATAGGGGGTTTGTTGTGTCTTTCTGTGGGGTACTCTATTTAAAATAAAATTCACCGTCAAAACAGCTTCCCCCCACAAATTCTGTTGTAAACCGGAACTATTCAACAATGCATTCATTGTTTCCTTTAAAGACCGATTTTTCCTTTACGCCACTCCATTAGTGTAACGCCCCCACCTCGGGGTCATTAACGTGACGTCCCGTTCATTATTATCTTTCTTTACACACAAGCGGAAGCATAATTTCGGGACAATCACATTAAGAACAACAGCGGGATTAAGACAAACAGCATCATGAGCAAACCTTATATTTACAAGGCATGCAAACATGTTTTAACAAGCCTTCGGGCCATGGCAAATAAAACATATTTCACACGCACTATGAATAGCAAAACTCGGCTTGGGTTGTCCTATACCCACTATGACTCCTCGACCCTCGCTTCTTCACCTCCACGCTGGTCCCATCCACCTGGCCATCTCACATCGCACCCGTGACTTTATCTCGGAGCCGGCCCGCCCGCACCACCAAAGCACCGTTGAACCCACATAGGGATCCAACCCATTCTCCGTTCGCGTAGCGATTTCACGCCACGTACGGATGAGGCACCAAGTCCGTTGGGCCCTCATCGAACATCACAAGCGTCATGATTCGGCGATAGGCGCGGTCTTCTCTGACATCTATCACGGGGAGCACTTCGGCTCTCTGCTCCACGGGATTGCTAATGCGGGCTGGGGGAGATGCCATCTTACGGACTTGAAAAGGGGAAACAATGGGGGATGAGTCGGGGAGACTCAGCAAGTGAAAACACTAATATCAAGTGAGGATATATCGATCGCCGTTAATATAAGTCGGCCCTTACCGCACCCGCATCGATGGCAGATGAATAGCAAAGTTAAAACAAGAAAACATCACGCATGGCCACATCATGTACACTTTACTAACCAATGCTCGGTTCTATCTCAAAACAACATCAAACATGAAACATGATTAAATCGAGAAATGAACCATCTACGACCAACCAAACGACCGAGAAACAGTCCAAGCAAACCACGTCACAACGCATCTCAACATCCTTTCCCGATATTAGGGAATTCACTTACTCAACGATAAAAACAAGAACAAGAAAGGAACACGGGAATCTCGGCGGTTCTCGAGCTTGAACACGTGAGTAAACGGATCTTGGCGTGAGGCTTGAACACGTGGAAGATGGCGTCTTGGCTTTGAGCTCTCTAGTTTGCCGAACAACAAGAAAAGACACGAGCTAGTCGGTGAGCTCTCTCTCCCTTTCTCTCTTTCTCAGCGTGAACAAGAAGCAAAGAAGCAAGAGAGAAAGTTGGTGGTGTGTGTGAGAATGGAGAGAGAGGCGTGAGAATGGCGTGAGAGAGAGGGGAGGGCTTCCTCTATTTATAGCGGCTCAAGCAAAGAAGAGACAAAATAGCATCATTACCAAATCTTCCTAGATTTCGCCCTCATTACAAAATCTTCCTAAAATCTTAGTCATTAATAAATACAAGCCAAAAGTCATGATGAAATGATCTTGAGAATCTAAGCCATTAATGAAATGATCTTGAAAATCTCGGTATTAATGAATAAGAGCCAAAATATTATCATGAAATGCCATTAATAACTTGATCTTAGAAATCTTT